CCCTGGCCCGGCCACCGCGTGCCCGGGCCCGCAGCCGGCCCAAACCCGTCTGCCGCGGCCGTGGGTTGAGCAGAGTCTGGGTCCGGTGGGCCCCGACGCCAACTTTGTCTCCCCTGGAAGTATGGATGCGTCGGGGAGCCCGGCTCTGCCTACGGGGCGCCTCTGATTACAGCAGTGTGGGTTTTCCTGATTTTAATGGATCCGTAGCAAGAAATATCATCAGATATTTTTTATTACATTTTGGAATTGAGTCAGGTAATATTTGACCTCGCAGCCCATTTTCTTTCCTGTTTGACCAAGACCCCGAGCCTTTCTGTCTGCAAAAAGGGATGCCTCCGAGTCTTCTGAGGGCTGTGACGCTATTTTTACAAACACATTTTCTAATTTTTCACCTAGGTTGGTTTCTTAATTTTAACGTTGCCTGGACTAATTCGGTTCAATATGCAATGCCATGTGTGTTCAAAGTACACGTAGGTCCCTGAGTTTCTTCTAAAGTTAGAGCTTGACATGATTACTTTTCTGATTGGTCCTGATGCATTTTCTGAGACTGATGATGAGGTTTCCGTTCTTACCCACAGACCGGGGGGCTTTGGGGTCATCTAAACTGTGACTTGCCTAGTGAAACCTTAACCACGGCCCTTGGCATAGAGGCCCGTGTTAGTCCTGGTGACAAAACGTGGCCTGGTCTGCATCCGCTCCTACGTGTACCTGCTAGCGCTGTGCCACAGTGTAACCTGTGTTTTTCTTGGTTCCCCCCGGTTGGGTAAAAGCTGTGTGGAAGCAGAGAGATGTTCTGTTACCAGCTGTTTGTATATGTCTGTCTGATGCTGTTCTATACGGTGATGTTGTCTCAGGTTGCAGAAAAGTGAACTTCCTTTATTTTTATGAACTCGCCTCTGCTTTTGTAAGCCTGCGAGAGCCGTCTAGCCGGCCGCGGCGTTTAGCCCTGGTCAGAAAGTCACGATTTTCTGATAACTGCGGGTTCTGTCTTTGCCTCTGCTCTGCCATACTTTTTATTTCAGCCCTACTCCCGGATCTGCCTTCCCGCCTGCCTTTTTGTTATTCCATCCTAAACTTTTTTAAGGCTTTCTTATATTGACTTTTACTCTGAATTTCCCAGTTTGAAATTCTTTTTTGAAATCAAGGCAAGAGCTTTTTTTTTTTTTAACTTACATTTAAATCATTACTTTAAAAATTCTGATTCATACCAAAGGTATCTGCGAAATAGTTTTGCTGTTTTATTTTCTGTTCTACTTTAGCCAATTATTGTAACCATATATTCAAGCTTGTATTTTCTGTATCCCCCATACAACAGAAATGCTAAAATATTTTGACTACGCATTAGTTATGAAAGAAAGAGAAAATGTTTCCATTTATATTTGTATAAATTATATGTATTCATCACACATTTATAAATTAAAAATCTCAGACAGTTGAAAAATTATGGACAATGAAAATATTTCAGTGACACATTATCCCATTATGCAGATAAGTCTGTGGAATGTGTTGCATACCCTTTTAAGATTTTTTTTTCTGGATATATGCACATAGATAATTTAACAAAAAAAAAAAAATAGAATCATATCATGCCTTGCTTCCCTGCCTTATTCATTTCAAAATAAGCTACAGTCAACTGCCATGGCCGTCTGTCCTCTTGTGCATCATGATTCCATCCACTTTATCCAGCACAGCACAGTGAAGACCCTCCCGGTGACCGCACGGGTGGCTGCGACTCCCGTCCCTTCACCCTCTTGCCCCGGCTGCAGCAACTTGGAGATAAACGCGCTGTCAAGCTCGCTGCTTCTGTGCTCAGTGACTTTTTAAGGAGGCGCGCGGATCTGAAGTAATCAGTGCCTACGGGGACCCCGCATTTACAGAGCGTTTGCATCAGTGCCGTCGGCGTCGCCCAGTGCCCGCGGGGAACTTGGGGCTCTTCACCCTGCTGGCCCCGGGGGGCCAGTGCGCGCCCACAGCCAGGGTTTGGGTTTACGTTGCCGACCGATTCAGCGGTCGGGAGAGCAACTGGCCGCCGCGGTTGCTTCTTCTTACGAGTCTGTTGCTGTGAAGGCTGAGCAGCGGTTCCACTGGCTCTTCTGTCTGCCTGGAGCTGCGCGCTCGCGATTGCAGCCTGTGTTCCTGCAGGGCCTGTGAGCTCACGGACGCCAGGTCCTGCACACGTTCAGGGCAGGTGTGGGCGCCCCGTAGCCCCATGCGTGCAGCGGTGTGTCAGAGAGAAAAGCTGCACCTGCACGGCTCACTTTCACAAGATTTGGAAGCCGAGCAGAGCCGCGTCTGTGTTTGCACCCTGCACGCGCGTCTGTGGATCCCGGCGGGCGCCTCCTGCTGTCTCCGGTCCGGGCCTGGCGCCCAGGCCCTGCCGGCCCTGACCCCCCGCGGGGCGGGTGCAGAGGTGGTTCACCGTGCGCAGTCCTTGCGCGTGGCTTTGAGGGTTATTCCAAAGTTAAATGTTTAAACTAAAAGTTCGATGCGTTTTAGCCAGTCTGGGCACTGTGCTGAGAACCCGCGCAAGCACAGTCCATCCGTATTCTCTACTTGAAGTTGCGTATTCGCCGAGCTCGCCGCAAAACCTGGGTCTGTAGGCGCCGTACCCAGAGCCTGTAAGGAAGCTTCGAAGAGCATCTTGCTTTTCAGTCTTTGCTAATATATGTAGGTAAAAGCTGATCTGCTCTAGACTCTGCAACTCAAATGCCAACTCGAAATGACTGACTGAGTCACCGTGTTAAGTATTTACCTCAAAAGAGTTTTGAAGAAAGGGTGCCAGGCGACAGGGTGGGGGTGCTGTGGGGTTTCTACCCTTCACTTCTTACAGACAACCCAGTCTGTCAAGACGCTCAGATACTTCAACAATATTTCAAACTGTCTGTATGGATGATTAAGATATTATCAGGGGTTCAAGTTTGCTTTTCTTTGGACAAGGGATTAACAGGATGTAATATTGGGTGTCTTGGACCTATAACCTCATGATGCTATTTTAGAAGATTAGTTGATTATTTTAATATCTTCTTAAGAAATCACTAAGTCCATTCACCAAATACTGATTCAATGGATTTTCTTGATCACTAGAATTTTGTTCATGCTACTTTTTTTTTTTTTTTTTTTTTTTTTGCGTGTGATGACATCAAGTCATCCTCATTGACAGTAAGTTTCATTCTGTCAAGCAAAGGTAATCTTTCATACTCAAGTGCCTTGATAAATAAGAACAATCTTCACTTTTCTGATAAGCATTCCAGTGAAAGCTGATTGACAGAGATGCCTCCAGCGGATAGAGATGCCTGGAGCGAATGAGTTCAGCTCTGTCTCCCTTCCCCACGCGTCGTCAAGTCTGTTGTTGAGGTGTCTGCCTGCCCAGCAAATCTATGTGCCTTTTAACGCTTTAGTTTTTAAATCTCATTGAAAATTTGTACTCGGTAAAGATAATTTTAAAGTCGTATAGAATTGGTATTTTCATGTTCTCAATATTTCTATGAATCTATTTCTATGAATTTATTTAGTTAAATAAATAAAGTTAATCTTTCAATGATGAAAACGTGTGAAAATGATCTTAATTTAATTAACTTTTAAAGTGTATCTAGTTGTCTAAACATCCTTTTAGGCTATCAACTGAAATCAACAGTTTACATTTTTAAGTAAAGATACTTATTTCATGTTTTAAAAGGCCAACTTCTTTATCAGCTTTTTCTTTTAATATTTATTTTTGAAGTTACTCATAACTTTGGGCTCACGGTTGAGAAGAACCACGCTTATCGATCAACTTTCTATAAGGAGTAATGGACTACTTTAGAGACACTTCTGCAATTAATTGTCAAAAGAAAATCCAGCCAACATACTTAGGACTTAGTGTGAACTTGCTTGTATTTTATTATGAAAATATGCCTCATAGTACATTTTGTAAAAAGTAGATAAAAGAGTGGAGCTTTTTTTTTTTTTTTTTTAACATCTACATTTGTAGAACACATTAAATATCCTCAGGATATCTTTGGCTTCAAGTAACAGAAAATCCCAACTCAAGCTAAAAAAGGAAATTTTACCTAGCAAAATCTCCAGAGAGAAGGTGTGTTCAGGTGTGGCATCTCAGGGTGACTCTCACTTCTCTGGCGCCCCTGGCACTTTCTGTTCCACACCTCCGCTACGTCTCAGGCAGATGGCAAGGTGCTCCCAAGGATTTCTGTCCTTACACTGAGACGCAAAAACTTCCAGAAGGAAAACTTTTCCTAGAAACCTTTCAGGAGAACCCCCCACCCTGGCCGTCCTTTACTGTCAGGTAGATTCAACAAGACCATCCATGAGAACTCAGAAAGTAGCCAACTTTCCCGCTGCCTGCGGAAAAGTGAAGTGATAAAGACCTAAGAGTAGAGATAGACAGAAAGGCATGCAGCCATTAAACCCTGGATGACTCTCCTTGACCCCCACTCTGTGTGTGCGTGGGCTGTGTTGCTTCTGTATTGAGGTGATATTCGTTTGCAACACTGTATGAGTCTGTTCAGGTCCCCCCTTTTTTTCAGCTTTATTGTCCCCACATGACACCCATCATCAAAGAGGCCCCATTACCCCCCACCAGAGTCC